TCTACACCTTGTTATCTCAGATTCTCCAGCATCTGCAGTTCCTACTAACTCTGGTGTAGGAGGTGGATGGATTGATTTTTTTGGTTTGGGGAGGGGAGGGGAGAAGAATGAGTCACGATGTGTAGCCGAGGGAGGAAGGGTCGCAGCGTGTGTCTGAGGGAGGAGGGTGGTGTAGCTAACATGAGCCCTGTTGTGTTGCAGGAGGAGCCGTTGCGGAGACTGACCGGCAGCCAGAGGGGGGTGCTGCAGAAGGAGGGCTCCCTGCAGCCGGGCCCGCCAAGAAGGCCCGGCAGTACGGCCAGAAGCGCTTCATCTGCAGCGAGTGCGGCAAGAGCTTCAAGCAGTACTGCGACCTGAAGAGGCACGGCCGGGTACACACGGGCGAGAGGCCGTTCCACTGCCCAGCGTGCGGCAAGCGCTTCAGCACCTCGTACAATCTGCTGATCCACCGGCTGGTGCACAGCGGCGAGAAGCAGTACAAGTGCCGGCTGTGCGGCCGTGAGTTTGTGCAGCTCCACCACCTGGTCACCCACCAGCGCACCCACACCGGCGAGAAGCCGTACCCGTGCCCGGTGTGTGGCAAGGCCTTTCGCCAGTCCTCCACCATGGCGGTGCACCGGCGCATCCACGGCGAAGAGCGGCCTTACCGGTGCCCGGACTGCTCCAAGTGCTTCAAGACCTCGTCCAACCTGTCCAAGCACCGGCGCATCCACGGCGGGGAGCGGCGTTTCGCCTGCGAGGCGTGCGGCCGTCGCTTCCTGCACTCGCACCACTTGGCCACACACCGGCGCACCCATTCCGGAGAGCAGGCCTCCTCCTCCTGCTGCTGCTGCCCGACCTGCGGCCAGAGCTTCTCCAACCCGGGCCGCCTGCTGGCGCACCACCGGCTGGCCCACACCGGCGAGCCGCCCTACCGCTGCGAGACCTGCGGCCGCGGCTTCAAGCAGAGCTCGACCCTGGTGCGGCACCGGCGCACCCACACCGGCGAGAGGCCGTACAGCTGCCCGATCTGTGCCAAGGCTTTCCGCCAGACCTCCACCATGCAGGTCCACTACCGCACGCACTCCGAGGACCGGCCCTACCGCTGCATGCAGTGCGGCAAGGGCTTCAAGAGCGCGTCCAACCTGATCGGCCACCACCGTGTCCACAGGAGCTAGAGAGCTTGGCACCACTCAGCCAGAGTCCAGCCATCCCAATAGAGGCAAAATGTTCCATTGCAAAAATATACTTTATCCTTAACTTATCTACAGTTCACTTCGGACAATGCATAAAGTATTGCCATTCCTCATATCGAGCTTCAATTCAATTGCAAACAAAGTCTAAACATGACAAGAAACTATCTGCATTCCAATTAAAGTTATGAATTTTAATTTTATTGCAAAAAAAATTTAATCATAATTTATCTGTAAATGCAATATGGAGCAGTTCGGTTTGGGCATTGCATTGGATCCAGTAAAATTATGATATTCCACGTTTGCTTCATCCAGGCATTATCAAAACACGACAAGAAATTATTTAGGTCCCCATTAAATATATGAGGGGATGTGGAACTGAGCAGACACTCGTTATGCTTTGACAGAAAGACCTTAACCAGTGGTCTTTCCCCACTGTGTCTTGTCTGCAGCTGCCCCAAGCTTTAGTGCGTCCCTCAGCACGTAGTCCTGGATCTTGGAATGTGTCAGTCTGCAACACACAGTCCAGGCCTTTGCACCCCAGGGAGACCAAAGAGCGTATTTCACCGATTTCATGGTCTTCCGGGCGCAGTCAGTGTTTGTCTCGGTGTCCAGGGAACAGACCATAGAGCACAGAGTCCTGTGTCATGGAGCTGTTCAGGACAAACCTCAACAAAAATCACTGCATCTCTCTCCAGACCTTCTTTGCAAAGGCACATTACAGAAGGAGATGTGTGACAGTCTGTGCAGTAGTGCACAGAGATCAGGCATGCATGAAGGATCTGACAGGCAGTGGCCTTCTCACCATTAGCCAAGTTATCTCCTGGTGCTTGTTGGAAAGTTCTGCTGATGTGGTATTCTGTCAAATGACTTTGACAGTCTGCTCACCCAACAGGATCCACCCTCCTTTTCATGCTGGGTCTCAAGGCCTCATGCTGACCACTGCCTGATGGACTTGTGGTCAAAAGGGTTTTCCTTGCAAATTTTTCAGTAAGAATAATGGTACAGTATGGTCCTATTACTTGGAGTGTTCCACAGCATCATGACCAGACCCATCTTTCATAACACCAGGGACAGGTAGAACCTCAGTACGTAGAGTCACTTGGTGTTTGCATACCAAGAGCTAAAGCTACAAATACTGCAGCTGCTGAAACCATCACACCTGCCCTCATTCAGCATCTCCATTCTCAACTATTCACTGCAAGCAACTTTTAGCCTGAACATACTTTTAGATGCGAGAGACAGGAATTCCCTTTGTAAGAGCATTCCTGTGAATGACCGTGTGTGAAAGATGCAGACTTAATCACTATCTTTTTTTTAAAACACCAGTCTTTATGCCTTTGCGGAATTTAAAAGTCAGCTAAAAATTTCCTAAACTGATCCAATTATGTGGCTTCCTTAATAACAGGTTTAAGCTGGCTGAAATCTAATGCTCAATTTTCACACATGGATCCAGACTTTGTGATTTAGTGCAGTTTGAATTTGAGCGTCTCATTTTCAATGTCTTTGATAGCCTGGTCACTCATTTCCAGGATGCTATGGTTCTTCTGCTTCACATAGAGTTGACTAATGGAATATCCTGTGAGACAGACTCTGGAAATTCAGATAAGCAAAGAGAAAATAGTTTGACTTTCCCAAAAATGATGTGAAACACTGCATTTAAAGGATTTGCATAGATCATTGAGTTTTGATCCTTGATCACTCTATGTATTTCTTGAATTAGATAAAAGCTGTTTTATTGTCGATGCATAACTTTATTATTCAATTTGCTGTTTGTGTAATAGTTCCACTTCATATTTTAAACTTTATACATAAGCATGATCTATCGTGATGCATTATCACGTTTGAAAAATGAAGTAAGACTTTATAGTGCTATAAGATAATCCAGTCTTTAAAATCAGTGATCATGTAGGTTTAGCTGTTTAGCTACGTATTAGTAAAGGCTGAACTGAATTTCCAGACAGAGAAAGACACTCATGATTGGGACTCGAGCGTGAGTAATTGAAGATGTGTAAACCAAATTAATATGTGGCAAAACCTAAAATATAAATCCTAAAAACATAATTACTAGGTTTTTTAAATGGAAAATTTGCAACCTTGCCATTTTGAGGACCATCCTAACCCTGTGGCACTGAAATTAATTCTAGGGTTGCCCAAATTGGAATCTGTCATCTCAGCACAAACCAGCATTGAATCTCAAGGGTGTTCCTTGGCTGAGGTTTCTTTTTAAAATGTCCAATAGGGACCATTTAGGGGAAATGCTGTCCACTATGAATTCCCCAGACCATTTCACGACAGCAGGAGAAATGTTGGCATGATGTAGCATAGGGATTTGCCTTCCTCTTCTTTCCTGATATGTTTTCTTGTGTTTTGTGTTGAACAATTTGCCCAAGTTTTCAGAGCATGTGGTACATGAAGGTGCATGGAATGGGCAGGCGAGAGAGGCGCTGTGGAGCTGTTTGGCTACACTGTGGCAAAATGCCTTAAAACATGGATTTTAGGTCTGTAGACATTCTCTTCTCCCTGCTTCTATCTCTCTTTTAGGAGCTAAAAGCAAATAATCTGCCCTATTACTCCGGATGATTTGTGCTGATCAAAATTGATTATTTAAAACACCAAGCACTTGCAGATCAGATATAGCACAGTCATTATGCAGACTAAGCTGCCTCTACCCAGGCTCTGTGGTATATGTTAACCCCACACCTGGAAGAGCACTTTTCTATAACATCCATCCATCCTCTCCAATGTCAACTGTGGTTAGATTTATCTGAATGATATTGCCAATTAGTTTCAAATTCAGTGTGTTTTGTGCTGTTGGTGCATACCTGCTACAGGCTGGATTGAGACTGCCTGGTCTCAATTCCTACAGGAACGTTAGCCGGCAGAAAGCATTTCCATTTGATTGATATGGTCTGGATTTGAGCCCGTGTCCCAGAGATGAAAAGATCACTGTCCAAACCATTCCACCCACCAGTCACTTCTGCACATTGCTGTCTTACCAGGGAAGGTCCAAGAAAACATTTATTATCGAAGCTAGTCTGTAATAAACCTGTTGAATATAAAATGAATATTCATCAGAATTTGAGGGAAAGTCAATTCATCCTTCCCAATGGGTGAATCACGATCTTTAGATAAAGTGACTGGAAATTTTCTTTACTTTTTATGAAGACACACCTACTCTCCTCTAGCTGTGACTGCACTGAACTCCATTTCCTGTCTAGTGGAATTAGAATTTCCCATTAAAAGCCACAAAACTGACGATTGATTGCCTGTCTATCATGCAGCTATTTTCTGTATATGTTTGAATATTCCTGCTGAAATTTGCATGAACTTTCCATTATTTTTGGATGTGGGCAGAAGAGTATAACTGCTAAATTACTGTACAACTTCAGTACTGAGTAACATTTGAAAAGCATTAACACCTACTGGCTTATTTTCAGTTTATAGATATTATTTTCCCATCATTTAATAAGTGGGCTGCAGAAGATGTGCTATGTGTTAGTCATTATCTCTTGAAACTGATATTTAACTATTGATGTAGTACTGCTCACATGAATACCCTGTTTTTGTGATACTATGTTCAACAAAAGGCTATAACGTAGTGCTTTTATGACACTGCTTAGGAATTTGTCTAGTTCTGGTTGGTGGTGTGGGTGTAGAGTAGTTGGGTAGGGACAAAGAGAGATGAGGTGTGTGGTAGGGTATCATGGGATGTTTCTGTGTGTTCAGAGATGATATTCCCCACACCTCTGGAGCAAGTGAGACTTGAACCCATATCTCTGGGGCTCAGAGGTAGAGACACTACCGCTGCACCACAAGAGTCCCTCTCTGTTTTCATCTTAAGGGCTTTCTGAAATACCATGGACTGTCCCGTGGTAACTGAAAGCCATGCCTCCTTGGACTGGATTTTCCCAGCAAAGGAAATGGTTTGCTATGCATTTGGCGACTTTTTTTGTAAATTTAGCCCATTTTTCCTAATTAAGCTGTTCAGAAATGTTATTACACACCTCTGCAGCAGATAGGACTTGAACCCAGGCCTCCCGGTCCATGGGTGGGGACATTACCACCGCACCACACGAATCCTCCCCTTAGCCTATTGATGATCCTTGAACTAATTGACTCATCCACATTGTGCCCGGCAGAAAGGTCGAGGGTTCACCTACCCTAACCCTTCTTAGTGGGAAAACCTTCAGCTTTTGCAGTGCCTGTGATTTCTGAAGTCGGATTTCTCATTTAAGTGCTGACAACTTGAAGATGGTAATCGAATTTGAGGCATCTGTTCTCGTAAAATGGCCCAGAATGACACAAAGCGTCTGTTTTGTAGTTCTCGAACCAGTACCAGGGATTTGCACATTTCGCTCACGGCCACGGGCGAACCCTTTGAGGTTTCCGAATGACTCACACATGAACTGAGATCAACTTGTAAAATAATTTGTGACAGGAAGGTCAGTGTTCATCTTGATTACAATCAAGATTATAGTTCAGGCTCCGCCAATATAGACTATCAACTGAAACATCGATTTTACCGATATTGGTCATCAGGGACCGAACGCTGGCAGATCTTGTCAGCTGAATAATAATTCGTCGGTGTTCAGGGAAATGTGTGGGCTGATTTGGCCATTTTATTCTCACGCAGTCGGAAAGACCTGAGGATTAAACAGTTTCCTAAACATCCGGAAGTCCCGTTTATGTGAAACACTTGATCCCATTCCTTGGTCCAGCCTCGTTATGTCAGCCATGCATCAGCAGCTGTGCAAGCAGATTTCAGACGCGCGTTATTATTAATTTGGAAACTCTTGTTTCTTTCTTGACTGGTGCTGTGCACTGCACTTTGTCCTTAAGAAGATAGGGGCGCCGCAATGATGATTGATAGGGAGAGCTATCCACTTAGGGGTGAGACCAGGCTGAGTACTCAGTGGAAACTATCCTGTGATTACATTTCACCCAATTTTTTTTATCGCGTTCAAGTTGGGGCGGAAAATAATTCCTATTGAGAAAAGCAGTTTCTGCGGTTTTCAGACAAGGACTACTGAAGATTCCTTGCTTCGCACAGGGAGGTGATTAAGGTTTTATTTAACCCTCAATGAACTATCATATGGCGGGGAGGCTTTGAACCAGAAAAATAATTGATGAGACGCTATTTGTGGCCACGAGATCTTTGAATTTGGTATCGAAATATCTGATGGAGAGGTGTGTGACTTGTGTTGAATGATAGAATATTACGTGTACAACTGGAGCTGAATCATTTAAACTTCCCCGAGTAAAGTCAGAGTTATATTTCCTTGATGTCACACAGCTTTTGTTTCGATACTGTCGTTTACTTCCCCTTGTTAACGATACCAGGCGGATTGATCCACTCGGGCCTGTTTCACATATACATAGAACGTAGTACAGCACAGGTCAACAGGACCTTCGGCCCACCATGTCTGTGCCGACCCTGGTGCCATTGTAATCTAATCCCGTTTGTTTGCCAGTTTATGTGTCTGTCTAAATGCCTCTTAAAAAGGATAAGAGCAACGCTATCATGTCTTGATAATTTGAGATAGTGCTCCAGGTCTCTCCCCATTTCAGCTACTTTCTTAACTATTTTGGCAACAATGCACAATTCCTTTAAATGATCGAGCCGTTACTGGCTGGATTTGCAATTCTGGATTGTTGGTTCCTACGAACTATTTGATAAAATCAAGCACAGAGTTTGATATTTTTCCCAGGTGCGTGGGGATGCTCGGGACATCATTTTGTGACAATGGGAAAGCTCAGGGGGCCAAAGAATCCTGAACTCACTTTCTGTTGCAAGTCAATGTGTATGTTACGTTATGCAAAATTCAAATCATTCTTGAAGTACCGCAGCAATACACTCTGCACACTATAAAAGATGCACTGCAGTAACTTACCAAGATACTTTGGACAGCACCGTCCAAACCTGTGACCTCAAACGAATAAGGCTGCAGATAAATGGGGGAATCATTGTCTACAAATTTCCATCCAAGCCACTTACCATCCTGACTTGGAAATATATCGTCACTCCTTCACTGTTGCTGGGTCAAAATTCTGGAACTCCCTACCCAACAGCATTATGGATATCAAAACACCATTAGGATAGCAGTAGTTCAAGAAGGTAGTGGATATCAGGGACTGGCAGTAAATTCTACCCTAGCCAGTGATCCCCACATCCCATTAAAAAAGTATACAATGGTAGATCTTATAAAACAGCTTAGGAGAACTAATGTGAGCTGATTTTTGGTCACAGATCTCAAGCAGGATCAGTGGAAATAGAAACCAGAGTTAATTGGAAGCATTAACCCTGTTTCTGTCTCCATGGATCTGCCAGACCCACTGAATGTTTCCAGCACTTTCTGTTTTTATTTCTGATTTCCCAGCATCTGTTGTACAGTACTTTGGTCAGTGAACTGATTTCAGTTTCTAACCTAGCCAATAAATCAAGGGTGGCTGTGGGCCAATTAGACTCCAGCTGTATTTGGTGATAACAGTTTGACTCTGGGTCTCCCTATAGCCCATGGACTGGAGTGGTTCAAGAAGGCAGCTCACTACCAACTTCTCCAGAGCCATCAGGGATGAGTAATAAATGCTGGCCAAGCCACCAACACTGACATCCCACAAACAAATTATTAAAATGTTTAGTTTAAAAGAATTAAGATAAAATTACAGGACAACAAGGATCACAGCCTATTTCGTGTAGCATAGCACAATATTTACATGTTTAAGGGACTTAATGTGCCTGCCAAATA